TGCCATTACAGAAGTCACATTCCTGGCACCAATCTTCTACATCCTGTCGGGAAAGATTTTATTGGGTCAATTGCCGACGGGATGTAGAAGATTGGTGTAAGGAATGTGATCTCTGTAATGGCAGAAAAGGGCCCAAAACAAGAAGTAGAGGTAAAATGGCACTGTACCTTTCCTTTTCCTCCTCTCGTCTCTTTCTCTCCTCTTCCATCTTCAAAAACCATGCTGGTGTGCCTGAAGTATCCATATCTGCTTCGTGCGCCGTGGATCTTGTATTTACCATGAATTGAATGCTTGAGAAACTTTTATTTTATATCCCATCGCTGTCACCATTGTTACGCTGGTTTTTGGTATCACAATTTATTTTAACTAAACTTTAACAACAATTATACAACTGATACAATAACTCTAACTGATAACATTAACGTTTAACGTCTATCATAAAACTGAAACTCCGACGTTAGGTCGTCGACTTATATAGCTTGCTTGACCTTCTCGAACCTTCTCGAAATGTCGTCTAGAATATTTTTGACGGGTAATGACATTTCTGACGAGCGGATAAATCCCGAGTTACGTTCCACTTTTCATTGGTCGCGTCTGTTCGTCGTTTCATTGGACAGGTTGGATGTGTGGCGGTATTTTTAAATTCGTATGATACTCGGTAAATTAACTCTTATGGCTACTCCCAATGTAAGATTAGATGCTACTATTGATTTATATATCTGTGGAAGCCTTACATGTTGTAAGTCAGGCGCCTGACCATAGTGTGTTTTAATCCATGTCATTAATAATTTTTCTCCTTCAAAGTATAAATCCAACTAAATCCGTAGTCCAGTTATTTGGACGTCCTACAGCTAGAAAAAAGATTATTAATTATGTGAACATTAGCTTAGATGGTCAACAACTGCCGCTTCTTTCATGTGTTAAGAATCTAGGTATTCATATAGATAATTCACTTCGCTTCTCGTCTCATGTGACAAATATTGTAAGAAAATCCTATAGTAGTTTAAAACTTTTATATGCAAATAAAAGCATATTGAATAAACGAACTAAAGCCATGTTATGTGATTCTCTTGTCCTATCTCACGCCAATTATGGCGATGTGGTCTATGGACCAAGTTTGTTAGGTGTTGATAAAACTCGCTTACAAAAGATACAAAATTCGTGTGTACGTTTTTTTTTGTGGACTTTACAGACGTGATCATACTAGTCAACACTTAAAGGAACTGGGTTGGCTTAATATGGCGGAAAGAAGAACATTGCATGCATGCTCAATGTTTCGCAAGATTATGGTAACTCTAACACCTGCTTACTTATATAATAAAATTCAATTCCGCACTGACGTCCACAACCTTAACATTCGTTTTAAATCTAAACTCACGCCGCCTTTACACAAAACAACCTTATATCAAGGATCTTTTTCATATTATATTTCCTGGCTTCTAAATGGATTACCGCTTAGCTACTCTAAATTTTCTCTTGGTAAATTGAAACATACATTAAAAGAAGACTTTTTAAATGGCAAACTGCGCAATATCATTAAGTAATACGACAGGATAATTTTATTATATAGCATAATTTCATTATACACGTTTTTCCGTTCTTCTATTAGCAATTTCTCACCTAATATAAATTGTTTTTCATTATTTTTGTTTGTTATACTATGCCTAGTTTTGCAACAACACCCTAGTTAAGATTATATGTATTTTAAGTTAATACCTATTATTTTAGATATAATTTTAGTATTAGTTTTTCTTTTTCCATTTTTTTTTTATTGAGGTTGAGTGGAAGAGCAGCTTCTATATTTGCTTATGCAAATCTGAAAGCTGAACTTTGCCTTTTGGCTAATTATTTTTAATAAATTATACTATTTTAATTTTGTAATTTTCACATGCCAATAAAACCATATTTATTTATTTTTTATTTTATTTAATTACCTTGATTATGCTCATGCAATATCGGTTTAACTTGCATGATCCTTGAGTTTTGGGGAGTCTTTTATTCAAGCTTTTGGTTTGGACTTTTCCTGAGAACAAACAGAAGTTTTTAAGTGAAGAATACCTAATACATCATTCTTTTTATAAAACACATGGCGGTGCGCCAGAGAAATCCTGTTTCTCCAAATTTAATTGTAATGAAATGAAGGTATTTGCTTACCATATCTATTACATAAGTAATATTTAACAGGCCTGTTCTTAAACTTTGATGTGATGAAACATAATTGCACTTGTTTATTTTCTATATGGATTTTTTCCAGACAAGGAATATCTAAAAAATAAAAAGGTCAAAACTTCAAACCTATATTATGTTTACCAAGTTTACCTTCTTTGTTTGAAAATTCCATCTCCTCACTTTCAATCCTTTTGTTATGCACCTCAGATAAATGATTTTTCAATCCCACATTATGTCGAAAAGAACAATTACAGTTTTTTTTCCAAACACTTGTACATAAATTTTAACTGATCGGAACAAACAGTCTTCGGTTTGAGATTATGTACTTTTTCCTACGACCACTTAGGAAAGTGACACATATCACACTATATAGTCCTATGGAAAGTGTCCTATATCACACGCGTATGACTAAGAATTTACTTTCCACCCAAGTGAGAATATGTTACTTTCCGCAGTAGTTGTCAAAAAATGTCAAACGCCTAATTTCTATTTTGATCTATGTAATGTCCATATTAATACTAAAATCGATATGATTGTTAAATTATTGAAATTGTTTTAAATTAGATCCTAGATATTTATCTTTAACAATTATTATTAAAATAATTTTAAAATAACTAAGATTATGTTTGCTCTTTAATATGGGTAAATACATAACCGATTAGATCATTCAATTGACGTAAGGCCCATTAGCTCAGTTGGTTTAGACGTTGAACTTATCAACTTTGCCATTTTTTGACCGCGTTCAATCTATGGTTCAAATCCTGGCGGAGCCGAATTTTTTTTTTGTTTTTTTTGTTTAGAAAATATGAAAATTGAATAAATACGATTATTGTTGATTATTTTTTTAAATACATTTTAATTAATATAGTAATAATAACCTTGGTTTTACATTTTTTTGATATTATTTTGTAAGCTAATTTCTATTTTGATCTATGTAATATCCATATTAATACTAAAATCGATATGATTGTTAAATTATTGAAATTGTTGTAAATTAGATCCTAGATATTTATCTTTAACAATTATTATTAAAATAATTTTAAAATAATGTTTGCTCTTTATTTTGGTTAAATACATAACCGATTAGATCATTAAATTGACACAAGGGCTGTTAGCTCAGCTGGTTAGGACGTCGAACTTATCAATTTTGCCATTTTTCGACCGCGTTCAATCTATGGTTCAAATCCTGTCGGGGCAGAATTTTTTTTTTGTTTTTTTTTATTTTTTTTTATTTTTTTTTTATTTTTTTTAGTTTTTTTTGTTTAGAAAATATGAAAATTGAATAAATACGATTATTGTTGATTATTTTTTTAAATACATTTTAATTATTATAGTAATAATAACCTTGGTTTTACATTTTTTTGATGACATTATTTTGTGGTCGTAGGAAAAATATTGTACATCACTTGTGTGAAAAGTGATTTTCCACACTCGTGTGATAGTCGCACTCGGCTTGCGCCTCGTGCGACTATATTTCCCACTCGTGTGAAAAATGTCACTTTCCACACTCGTAATGTAATATACTATTTTCGTATGTTTATTTAAATAAGATTTATGGGAAAAACATTTACTGCACACTAAACATATTACGCCCATTGTAAATAACTGTGCGAGTAATAGGTATTACTGAAAAATTAAAACCACACCTGAAAACTAGGTACAGGGAGCACAAGATCTTCGACCTTCTTGCAACACGCTTTCAATGAACCTTCAACCATTTCAAATTTCACTTCTCATATCACAACCTCAATTAGGCATTCCAAACAAATGAATTACCAGTGGGCAGGTTTGGTATATCTAAGGGTGGCGACATATAGTGTATTCTATCTACTTTACGTAAAATCATGAATAATGGATTACATTTAAATATTTTATGTCAAACACAACAAAAATAATATTTAAAAAACCCACCTATACATTTCTTCATAAATTGGCAGGCTTGGCGAGTACTACTTCGAATAAAAATAGCGTCCAAGTTGCAAGACTATGTCGCTACCCCCTTAAATATACAAGAATTTCCCACTGGCACCTATTGTTTGACAGGTCGTTGGAATGCCTAATTATTTGACAACAAAGAATAAACACGATTAAAATGAGATGGAACACGGAACATAACTCGAGATTTATCCGCTTGTCATTTCTGTAGATTTCTGGAATATTCTATCTTCTTTTACTTGTACTTTTACTTATGACGACCGCAGCACACTATAGAGCGATGAGTAACATTCCACTTCTTTTTCTATATATACGTTTCCTACGATAGCCGCAGGCTACTGCAGGGTGCTGCGTTACAATATTAAAAGTTTGTCTATTACAATCACACTTTTTTGTTGTTTGTTTTTTGCCTTTTGTTTTTCTTTGGTGTGTTTGTGAAGACAATCTTTTAACAAAACAAACCTTTTTTGTATGTAACATTGTGTTCTTTCAATCAGTAAAGTAGAAATAATGTGAAGAAACTCATTTGGTAGATACGCTATAATTATATTTTTAAGCTAAAGGATTAACTTTTCCAAATTTTAGTTTTTCGGGAAATATATTTTGTTTTATTAATATGTGAGTCAAAATTTATATTATTGAATCAGCTACATACTTAATAACCTTAGTGTTTATAAGCCAAATACATCTCTATATAATTTTTGAATATCCTAATTTTGAACGCGTGGGATATTGACGTGTTCAGGGCTTTTTTGTTCTCTTTAAAATAAACGAGTTGACGAGGGAAAGTAAGACTAATCCTCTTATGATATACCAAAATAAATTTCTATCTCATTACTGCACATAGAGGTGCTATTTAGAACTCACACTGAACAAATAAATTGTATTTATTGTAGCAAAAATCCAATGTACCGATGCCTGAACAAGCTAAAAAAACCCTAGAGGTTAACTATTTTTCCACTTTGAGATTTTGTGAGGCTATGTTTCCTTTGCTTAGAACTAATGCAAGAGTAGTAAATGTTTCGAGTTTATTAGGCCATCTTAGTAAAATTCCTTCTGAAGCAAAAAGGAAAGAATTGTCCAGACCAGATTTAACTATACCGGAACTTTCAAAGTTAATGGAAAAATATGTTCTGTGAGTATTAGTATTGAATATAAAAAAAAAATTAAAATTAAAATGTTCTGTACTAAAAAAATGTAATAAAATGAAAAATAATCATCATAAACTTGTGACTAAATACTGAATGGAAAGTTTAATTGTTTTTTGGGGGACCAAAGATCAACTGACATCTCGAAGTCCTAAATTAGTAAGGATTGCAGTTACAAATTTCACTTTTTGTTTGTTTCACTTAAATGATTGGTTTATGTCTTTGAAATTCATAATACAATTTTTCTTCGTTATAATTGAAGTTACCTGCTACATTCATCCTGGCGATTATATTTAGAACCTGTCATTTTTTTTTCTTTTCAAAATAATTTTATTTTTTAGAGATGTTCAAAGTGGAAAGGCGGAAACAGAAGGATGGGGATCTTCTAATTATGTTGTATCTAAAGTCGGTATATCAGCTTTTACTAACATCCAGCAAAGAATATTCGATGAAGAAACACCGTCTCGTGGAATATCTATCAATTCTGTCCATCCCGGTTGGGTGAGAACAGATATGACTGGCAACAAAGGACACAAATCAAGCGAACAAGGCGCCGCCGCGCCTCTTTGGTTAGCACTAGAAGCTAATTTAAAAGGAAAATATGTTTGGGATGATTGTAGTGTTGTGGATTGGTGTGCCAAAAGCACACCCCCAATACCTCCTTTGTAAGCACCTCTAATAAAGCCTACTGCTTTATTCGTTTCATATACATATGTGTATTGAGAATAACAACTGTAACTGAATCTGTTTTAATAGTTATCACTAATAAATAATTATTTGTACTTTGATTTATTGTTTTACATAGAAACTATAAGCCAAAAACTAAACCTAATAAAGTAATATTAACGAGGAAAACACAAATTGTTTCTAAAGTAGGGGAGACCGACATACAGTGGCCATAGGAGCGCAGTGTTTACTTTTAAATATATTTTAAATCAAATATTGTTACAAATATATATAATTAGTCTGAATAAAAGAGGAGCGCAGTAAAAGTGGGGATATAACTTTACTTTCCATAGATGTACTTTGCAAAAAAAGTTTCTATAATATAAATATGGCCACGACATACGGTGTGGCCCAAAAGTCTGGAAACGGCCAATTATCTCGTAAATTGCTAGTCCTAATTATACAAAACTTAAGATACGCCTATTTTGGGATACGGTGTTTTCTGATTTGATATTTGCAATGTTGCCAGATTTGCCGTTTTTCTTAAATTATTAGTCACTTTGGTTTCTCCAATTCATCACCCTGTATATTCAGTCATTATTGAAATCTCCTATTCAATACGAGTTCAACCATATGTAACACTTATGATTTTATGTAGTCTGGAAGGTTCTAAATAAATAAAATAAATCTGGCAACGCCTAATTGTCTCAATAAATTTTTTAATACAAACTATTTTCAACTACATTAAAACGTAACAATTGAAAGATTATAACATTTTTAACATAATGATTACTTTACCAAGTGTTCAAAATGTGCTCCATTTGTGAATTGACAGTACTCTAATCGATGGTAGAATGCATCTACCACATTTCTCCATGTTTTATTTATTTAAGACCTTCCAGACATTGCAAACCATATTGCGCTTCCTTGACACCATGTAGATTGTCAAAATGAGTGACCCCATATATACCAATACATATTTAAATACCAATAGGTAACTTATTTTTGCATATTTTGAAATAAAAGTTGGATATTATGGCTGATTCTCGTGTAACTGCGATTTTTACAACTTAAATTTTTCTTACATTAAAAATGTTATAAAACGTTTGTTTTACGCGTTTTTGCACAAAAATAAGCCTGTAAAGTGATTCTACTACAGCTACAACACAACGAAAACTGTGACAAAATTTAAAAAGTTTAATGCCACGGTACTGACATTATTTCCACGGTACTGACATATAAATGATTTTTTTTACCAATCGAAAGATTGGTATAAAATTGCAATAAAATTCAATGCAGTATGCATTAGATTGTAGTTATAAGAGGTACATTTTATATTAAAAAATAAATTTTGATAGAAATTTATATATTTAATTTTGAAAATGATAATCGGACATGCCACGGTACTGACATTTCGAGTATATTTAGATGCAGCTTAAAAAAAATTTGCGAAGGTTATAATGTCAGTTGTAAAATACCTCTAAATTTATAATATTAATAACTTTTTGATGAGGAAAACTTGTGGTAAACGATAAATAAAATACTGGACATAAAAAACCACAGTTATCCAAGAATCACCCCTATACGTTTTACTGAGGCCCTTCCTACGGGGCCTCAGTATTGATTTCGTGCAGACGAAAAAATTTTCTTACCCCCAATTTTTTAAACTTTTTTCACGGTTCCGATCATTCTGAGTCCGAAAATGCAAAAAAGATTTTTTCGTCTGGTCATCTGTGTGTATGCATGCCGGCACGATAACTCGAGAACGAAAGTTCTGATTGACTTGCGGTTTTGATTTTCTTGAATAATTGTTTCTAACTTAGAACCTTATTAATTTTCAGAATTTTCGGTCCATCCTAACTACTTTAATATTAATTTTCTTAAAATCCTCCCATGCATTTCTTATGTGACTAATTTTACGCATTCCAAGCATTCCTAACGTCTAACATTCCTAAGATTCCTAACATTGCAAACATTCTCCAACGACCTGTCAAACAACAGCTGCTTATTGTAACGGTGAGATTTCTAAGGGAGGTTGCGACTTTCATAGTTGCAAACATACACCTTATTAAAAATTATAAAAAAAAATAATAGTAGTTGGGTGTCCAAAATATGAACTGTGACTGGTGAATTTCATTTTTTTGCAGTGTTCTCACTACCTAGAATGGACATGAAATATATTCGTTCAGTTGAACGCAATGACATAATTTTTGTAGTATGTGCGTAGATAAGCTAATATCCATGTGGGTGTAGAAAAAAATATTAGTAGATACCCAGACAGCACACCAAATCCTTTGGATATCTACTAAACATCCCAATATCCACTGACTGTCCAGTCCATGGTGGATATCTATTTTATATCCTTGAGCTGTAATTTATAGACATGCAAATGTCCATAAATAATAGTAATTATATAGCAAATTATTAAAAAATTACGCCATTGTGCTCGCCATTGTGGTTAATAGTACCGTTCAGATATTTAAAATTAATTTTTTTAAGGTGTAGTCAATATCCCATGGACATCCACTAAATATATCAAAGTCTAGGCGCGACCGCAAACCTTCGTGGATATCCACCAGATGTAATTTTTGATTTTGCTTACTAAGTATAGATGGCGATACTACTTTCGCATCTACTCATGCTCAACCCACCGTAATTGAGTTCGATCGAAAATTTTTTCACAATCAGACTCCATTAGAGACTGGAGTCGAGAATTTCCATTTATTGCTGAAGAGTCCTAATAAGGATAACTTTCTCCTTAGTGGGCAAAATCAAAGGCAGAGTGTTGAAAATATTTTGAGTGTTGAAAATATTTTTTATCTCTGCTATTTTCTTTCGACTTTATTCAATAATCATTGGTTACTTATGAACCACTACTAAACATGCCTATAATAGTACATTATATACCTAGGGTGAGAAGTGAGCTATTATTTACCGAGCACTTTTATATAATGTGCGAGGTAAATAATAGCTTTCTCAGCCGAGGTATATATAGAATTTTTTTTACTACTAACATTAATATATTAGCAATTTTAATTTTGACATAAGTAATTTCCTAACAATTTGTTAAATATTTCGAAATATCAAGCAGAGTGGAGCGTGTTTCTAATCAGACTGGCTTTATTTAGGTAAAAATTTGGCATGTGTCAAATTTTGATATGATTCTATGAAATATCGCATTGCATTTTTGATATTTTAGTGACATGGATTTATTGGTATTAATTAATAATTTTTGAAGCCTATTAACGGTGTTGAATTTCCTAGTTAATATATATTTTTACTATTAACACTGATATATATTATCATATTTGATTTGATTAGATTTTAATAAACCCAGCTTTAGTTATTTCCTACTTATTTGTCAAATATTTCAAAATATCAAGTAGTCTAGAGTTTAGTTGTCAAATTAACCAAATGAAACTAATGAAATTTAGTTTCATTATGTATCTAGGGTGAGAAATATTACTTCTCATAAGAGGAATGGAGTAAATAATGGTGATTTCTCATGTTAGTAGTAAAAAAAATATTTTGCTGAATATCCGAATTCTTCTATATCTTGGGATATAGACGGACATTTGGTTGGATATCCATATTGGATATCCACAAAAGATATTCAGTGGATATCTCTGGGATTTAGTGTGTTGTCTGGGTAGTTGGGTGTCCAAAATATGAACTCTGATTGGTGGATTATATTTTTTTGCAGTGTTCCACTACCTAGAATGGATATAAAATATATTCGTTCAGTTCAACGCAATAGCATACTTTTTCGTTTTGTAGTATGTGCGTAGATAAGCTAATATCCATGAGGGTATAGAAAATTAGTAGTTTGTGTAACAAGAGTGGACATCGACAATCCACTCGAGTTGTACAGGATATTTTTTCTACGACCCACTGAAAAACTAAAAATCGAAAAATAGAAAATGCAAAAATCGAAAAAGCAAAAATCGAAAAATCGAAAATGCAAAAATGCAAAAATCGAAAAATCGAAAAATCGAAAAATCGAAAAATCGAAAAATCGAAAAATCGAAAAATCGAAAAATCGAAAATTCGAAAAATCATTTTTATTAATTTTAACACATTTTTTGCGATTTTTCAAAAAATCTTTAATAAATAATATAGCGTTTTCAGCAAAACCTATACAATTCAAGATGAATTATCGTATCAAAAGCTCTACTAAAATCTAATAGTGTTAAAATAGTACAATGCCCTCTGTCAGTTGCAGTAATGATATCATCTAATATTTGCATAAGCGCTGTAGTACAGCTGTACCCTCTGCAACAATTGAACAGGTGGCAACAATGAGTGATTTAATAAGTGGATAAGAGCACTGGTAAAATGCTGAACCCCTAAGGTCTTTGTACTCAGTTGAGTTTTGTTTTTTGGGTATAACTTTCACAATTGCTTTTTTACAGACAGTAGGCACAACATTGTTTAATAGGCAAAAATTGATAATATACATAATGTATGGAACAATATTTAGACAGCATAATTTAACAAACCTACTGTTCAAATAATCACAGCCTATTGCAATTGATTTCATTTTGCAAAAACTAGTAAATTTAATGTTTCGTCAACTTCTCTGAATTTAAATGTACAAGGTACAACATTATTAGTATTATAAAAGTTTAATAGCTGCTGAGGCGCATTATTAATGTGGTAAGGATTTTTTAGATTTTCGGGAAAATCTTGATTTTTATTTTTGACAAAATTGTTAGATTTTAAACTATGCCATAATTATTCTTTATTAGAAAGTTACTAAATTGATGTAAGAAGTTCTTTTTTCTCTTTTTATAGCTTGATTTTTAATGCCTTGTCCCTTTTATTCTGCATTTGCATTATAGTGAAAGTTAACCATGCAGCTTCCTTTGGAGGTAACTAAGGGAGCATGTCTATCAAGTATAGAAACTAAACAATTTACAAGATATGACAGTTTTTTATCGATAGTGTCTTGATCAAAAATACGAAAAATATATATATTTCTAAAATCATTTTGAATGTTTTCTTCATCAAAACTTTTAAAAGATCTATAGATATACATTTTAGGTTACTTTTACAAAAAATTAATGA